TGCTAGAGTCTTGTAAACGGGTTTTGGTTAGGCAGCAAAACCTTTATGGAGTGGTTCCAACGTGCGCGCATGGGCAGCTTGGGAATCAAGCTGCATGAGCATTCGAACAGCGAAATCAGCTAGATTGAAGAACGAGTGGGTCACAACAAACGCCTCGCTGTTATATTGGAATGTGTGCGATCTGTTTTGAACGATTCATTGATGAGACCAAAGGTGCCGTTTTTATTTGCAGTGCACTTTGGGAGACATGAAATTGGAGTTGGTTACCAAGGCCAGGAGTGTTGAATAAACCGGGAAACAAAATGTGGTTTGCGGTGCGGTAGCGTGAGGTTTAGCATGCCCAACCACCAGCACCTCGGTCAAAGAGCAAGAGTTTGAGAGCAAGCAACTTGAGCTGAGATTCCTAAATCCATCATTTTATGTGTTGTGTGGGCATACAAATTTTCGGTGGTCCAGGAGAAGGAAGGGAGCTGACATAGTTGGCCCCACCCGGAGCCTTCGGTCATAGGGACCTGACCCTGGAGGAAGTGGGGATAATTCAAGTAATCTCTCACATTGGGAGCCGGTGACCGATTGCTCGGTTCATACGCCTTTCGTTTGGCTGCCTGCCAAGCAGGGGCCCAATACTTGCAGTAATTGAGCGGCAAGCTGAAGGATTACAATGCTTCAGCGAAGTGAAGCAAGAGACAGTGACTTTATTTAGTAGCTAGTCGCATCCACCACGTGGCAGTGTAGTTAAACGAACATAGGAGGCTTGTTTGAAAAAGTACCCTCGCCAGGCGAAAACCCACCACGTCCTGGAACACTGACGCCGAACCTTTCGCTGGAACGAGGTAATCCCGATCTAACCAGCTGGCAACACGATGAGGTATTTCGGCAAGCCAATCAGAGAGACTGTTTACCAAGTATTTATTAACCTTAATCACATATGCCGTCATCTGCTGAAATTCAGTCATAAAACTACCTTTGGAGTTAACTGCTTGAAGCTGGGTGGACAATACAGCCGTCTTGAATGCCGAAGGAATTATGTTTCTCTTCGGATTAGCTGACATTGGAATCCCATCCCAAACTCGGATGTATCCACTCTAACTTGGATCTCTTCAAAAACATTTGGATGTTTCCCTTGGCCCTGATCACATTTTTTACCTAAGTTGTGCTATTTAGGTAAAGTAAGCTTGCCTATCTATCAGATTTATGTGTCACATGGATGGAAGGATGGGTCACATAAATGAGCATTGTTGTTTTTATTTCTTGCACGTAATGCATTATGTTAAACTTCCTCCCATGTTGTCTTGTATGCTTGCACCCGATTAGCGTTTTACATATCTTTAGTTACTAAGCCAATTAACTTGGCAGACGCTTAAACAAAGTACTCATATAACCATTGATTTTTAGTTTCATTCCAATCGTAATGCGGGAATTCTCAGGCACCCGTTATTTTGCACTTTTAAGTAGTCACTTAATTTTCGTTGTTTGTCCAAGATCTTTATATTCTCAGAAGGAATGCCCAAGGTAAAGACAAAAACTAGGGTCATCTTTTGTGTCTTGTGCCCAGCCTTGTGAGCAACTGGTCGAAACAAACTCAAATAGTCTAGGTGGTAATATTTAAGTGTGCCAGGACAATTTGGAATATTGAAATCCCCTCTCTACTAGTTTGTACTTAGCTGAATGATCTGTGATGCAGTCGAATATGTCCGTGAGAACTGGGACTGAAGTTTTTGCCGCTCTGCGGGGGACTGTAGATGTGCCCTATGACGAAGCTGCGTTCATTGATCTCGATCGTTATACAAAAAGATTTAGCTGAATTTGCAAGCATCTGATAAACAAAAATTGAGGCGGGAATCGTTTCATCAATGTATACTTCGCAATCTCCTCTCCTGTTATTGCCCTTAAATATGGTTATACGATTCATTTATATGGTCAACAAACCACGTTTCGTTAACTATAACTATTTGGGTTTGAAAAATATGTAAAAAGGCGAATATGATGTCTTTTGCTCTTTAAGGGACTGGCCTTATTAGCGAAGCATATGCAGCTCCATGCTTTTAGGCAAGCCTATTGGCTGAAGAAATATTGGTAGTTCAAGGGCACGTGAGGAGGAAAAGGAGATGACCAAATTGGTGGGTGGATTCCCTGGCGATCCACTGTATTCGCAGACATGTAAGCAAGATAAAGAGATGAAAGAGGGGATGTAGAATGATTTACTACATTAGTAATTCGTCTATCCGCAGCACAGGTAATGCCGGGTAACAAACATGATTCTGTTTTAGTATGTATTGGTTGAGTTGAAGTACTTCTCATAATATTCGAAATAACCGCTGTTCCGATGCCTACCAATGATCAGCTGGTGGCTGACATTATTACCAGTACGATTCAACTTACTCGTCATCTCATTTTGCTATGCCTGCGGACTTGCCTGCTACACCCAGCGCCTGTTCAACAGGTTACCTACCTGCCTGTTACCCGCGACAACCATGCGGCCTGTGGTTGCCTGCCCCAGTTATAGGGACGGGGTGTACGGTAAACATAATGGTACTAGACTCAATTAGTGGTGTATACCACTCGGCCACCGCCCTGATGTTGTTTCGGAGGGCTTTCGGCAAGTTTGAGTAATCAATCTTTCCGCAAATGCTGAACGCCTACGTGAGGTCTCACGTGGAATATGCGATACAGGCCTGGCGTCTGGTGAGATCGACATCCGTTGCTTCTGCTGCCATCATTGTGTCCATAGTCATTTTGAATATTGCTGTAATACGGAGTAAATGAGATGCGCTCAGATTTTGGCTCCTTTGAGTTACGAGAGTCGGGCACTCAACCATGTTAATTGTTGCACGCGACAAGATAATAGCTGGTTACACATCATAGATTATTTTACAAAAGGCCAAGGTAATATTGTCTTCCATTCTATAACGACCATTATCTGAGCGTGCATTATTCGAAGGGAAACGTCTCTTTGGACAAGGACTATATGGTTACTCGGTGTATTGTTGGAATGGTCTATATCGACCTCTGCTACCAAGGGTACCGAGGTCGATGGGGCAAAGCAATACAACAGAATTTGGGTTGGTAGTTCTTTCAGCGTTGAATAGTCGTTATATTCAAGTGAATAGCATGATACTCCACCGACGACAATAACATTATTACTTTTAATTTGACTTCATTTAGTAAATTGACTATGTTTTAAGGATTGGCAGGTGTATTTGTTGCATGGGTAGATGTTTAAATACCGAAGATAGCGGTTTCGGGCCCTGTATCAGCCGGTCTACTTACCGAACTGATGTTGAGAGGTGCCACCCAACCTCCACTGGCGTTGGATTTACTAGTATATTTTAGTATAAAACTGCGTTGACTATTATTGCTGATATTTAGCTTAGGCAAATGTACAACTGCAAGCCAGTGTTGTGCGAAACATTTAACATTGTCACGAGGAAGAGAGACGTAGTAATTATGAAATACAGAATAATTAAGTTTCGATGAATCACTCTATGTTGTAGATTTTATTCAACGCCGGAGGATTTTTAAATTGGTTATGTTGTAAAAATTTCCAAGGCATTGTTCCTTTTAGTTACCAATGAGTACAGTTTCTTAATCTGTTTTACAGTCTATACAATTAATCACCTTAGCTGTTTTTGTTATTTCTGAGTGCATGTGCTCTACCGGAAGAAATATTTCTGCTGAATCAACTAAGGTTTAGTACACCAGTGTCAGCCTTATTTTTATCACGAATACGGCTGAAGTGTACAGTCAACTAAAATAATGCCTACACTGGAATATAAATGGCAATCTTCCATCTTCCCCATCGATTGTCGTCAGTTGATGCTAATGGAATAACAGAAATGCTGTGAAAACTCGACACACAAGTGCGTGCGTCGTCTAATTAGTCAAAATATGCTTTGGCTAGTAGATGAAGGCCAGTAAGCAAAACTAGCTAATGGAGTAAGCACGTAGAAATTTAGCGTTGCGTGTGCAAAATCAGGTGACCCATCTTCGTTGACGTGTGTGTTAAAAGATTCACACTAATATCTTATATTTTCGCAGTATTTCCCATTTGTAACTGACAATTTTTAAATCATTTAACTTACTCTTATGAACTAAGCCGTTTTGGGTGCAGTGCGACTTATGTGCGTTCAGACTGTTATGTGTCTTAACCATACACTACACGCGCGATATCATATATTCGCATATGCGGAACATTGTGCTGCCTGTTTTATTTTATAAGCGCCTTACATCTATCTTGATTTGTTCGCACTTCGAGACATTCTTCAATAGATATAATGTCCATAAGGATTGGTAGTAGCTCCATTGCTGCAATATGAGATGTCCAAAAGTGTATGCCACTTAACAGGCTAAATGAAAAGTTGACATCGGCTAAGCATCGGTTCTTTACACAGAGCTTTGGATCAGTTGCAGTAAATTGGATGTTCGCCATGGCACGTTGCGTTCAAAAGCCACAGCAGCAAAATGAAAGCTTCATCCTTTGATGAAAAGGCCTTCGTGGTAAAGAAACTGTACTCACCAGTCCTTTCATTTATATTGCTAAACACGACGTTCCGATAAATAACAAACAAAATTCTCTCTCTCGAATGCGCTCAAGCTCCCAGAAGTCCGCTTCTCTGTGGCACAAATTTCATTGAAGCGCTTCACAGTAAAACGGTTTTTGATCGTAAGCACACGTTATCGTCTTCATTCGGCTTTTAATTATATGCAAACATACCATATGGTTAAGAAGAATAAGTTGCTATATATAATTTTGACATCGCATGATGCCTAGAATACATTGCCTATCACAAAATGATATACCGAATTAATCGAAACAAATACGTCATCTAATTATTATGAGCATCGTAGTTAGAAATGCTGCTTAAATAATATCACAGTGTGTATACGGCAACAACCGTTATCCGTCAGTTTTTCTGACATCGTTACAAATATACCTCCGAAAAATAACTACATTTATTATCTCGGAGTGATAATTTTCATCACTACTGTTCTTATTTTAGTGGATCTCGATGTTCACGCGTGTCTCACCTACAAGGGCCGCATGGTGAAATCTAAGAAAAGTGTGATTGTTCAACGGCCTTGCCACAAGAGTTGGGCCAGTGCTATGCTGTCGAAGAGTTCTGCCGAATCCAATCCACAGGATGATGGGGCACATGCATCTCGACTGCTTTCTGGAGACCACGTTGTGCAATTATCGATCCCCAGTAAACGTAGATCATCCGGAACTTCACCTCTCTCCTCTTATGGAATCTTAATTTTCGTCGCTCGTAAAATAAATGTTGCCAATCGACTGACATCAGAATGCATCGACCAGCTGAAATTAATTGGTCTAGCTGAGGAAAAATCCCTGTACGCCATCGGAGAGTGTTTCGTGGGTGATGAAGTGTCGCAAGTGGAATACAAAAGAGAAACCGGTCAGATGCCTATGATTGACAGCCAATGTAACGCTCTGTGGAACGAAGCTGCCAATCACGCATCCAGCAAGATCTATCAATGGTTAAGTGTGAAGTGATAAAGCAGCAAAGCGGTTGCTAATATTGTGCCCAATGAAATCTGTCTGTGTCCTAATGCCCCTTGAAGTTGACATGGCATCTGATTTCACATGTATACTGTGTTTCATCAGCCGACTGAGTTTCATTATTAGGGTACAGATCGCATGTTTCAAATCGCTTCGAAGTAACCAATCTCGTTGCCACACATCTGCATCAATTTCAGCATTTAACACCGTGATCCTACGAAATATACCATCTTCTACCGTTGTTTCAATCCCCTCCTGAAAGGAAGTACGTCTATCGACTGTTAGTTATTTGTTTATCTGTTTGCTACGACGTATTAATTTAATTAACTGCTCCAGAGATAGTTTTCGCTTATTTAGTTTTGTGTGAGCTATGGAACGCAAGAGGAGAGAGTAAAAGTGCAGAAAACGAATAATGGACAATGAAAGAGGACAATTATCCGTCTTTTAGCGGTTAACTAACAACAGATCCGTGCATTTGATACGAGCATTAAAGATGCCGGTTTAAATGCATCAATAAATGGTTTATCCATCGATAGTTCGAAGCAAAGTTGCAATGAGCAGTCGCATGATTACTTATGGGTACGCTTAAAGCAGCTTCTTGTAATGGTTTTTCATTGTGTTTGCTCAACGCATTTGGAATAGAATTGCAGAAATAAACAAGCTTTTATTCTCGATCATGCAAGACACGCGTGAAACGGCATGCTCGGTTAAATTACTTAATTACGCATAAATCTGATCAGAAGTGGATAAGTAAAATTGAAATTTTGATCAGCGAATGACAGCAAAGGCATAATAAGTGGTTGGATGAAATAAACTTATGTTTTTTCACGTTTAACCGCTCTCTCAAATACCTTATTATAAAACAACTCATTGTTTGACAGGAGGATGGTGGCGAAAATATACTACGTCATATGATACCTGGACCCTTCTCGTACACTTGACTTCTTGTTACAGAACAAGCAAACAATTTAATCATATTCAGTATGATCAGGAATTTGGTGTTGCTTTTGCGAACTTGATTTTCAAGCGTGCTAGCACTTCTTCCGAGTGGTATCGCGTACCAGATTATCCCGTGCCTATTAAGGAAATGGTTCGCAGACCTGCTGGTCCTGGACTTGCATTCTGCCAGTGATTTCTGTTTATCTTATGTGTTGCAGACTGCTAATTCCATTAATGTCATGTTGACATTAGAAACGCGTATAATGTTATGTAAAATTTTGAGAAAGTAACTATCATATTCTTCCTGTGCTGGAACCCGAAGGAAGCAAGCTTGAGCTTTTCTTAAGGTTCAGATTATTCCAGTTTTGGAAAAGTACCCAGAATGCTCTTTGTGGGTGCTCTCTTCATTTTTCTAGTGCAATGCAATCGCGCATTTTTGAGCTTATATACACCATTGAGCAATATTCCACCATAGGTCAAACAAATATATAAGAATGAAGTCCTAACCATGGTAGCGAAAAGTCCCAAATATTAATCTTACGTTATGTGTTACTCTCATGGTGACATAACCTACTTGATCCCAGACATCTAGTAGGTATGAATATAACATTTCCAAGTCTCTTACTGCATGACAGAAAGTAAGTGCTTATTTTTCAAGGATCAGGCTAATGTCGAATCGCACTTGTGGAACATCGCACAGTGTTTGTCATTGGAGCAAGACCTATTTCACTTCAAGCAAAAGCATTCAATCGCATGGAAGTCAAGTTGGATCATGACGAGAAGATATATATATATATATATATATATATATATATATATATAATGGCCGATACACATTTCCTTATTAACTGCCTTCATGGAATAATTTACATCTAGGTGTTTCATCCAAAAATCCGTGCCCCAGCTAACTGTAAGCAACGGCAGGTAAGCCATTAAAACTTTGTATTGTTTACACACAAAGACCATAGGCGAATTAGCCATTCGACCTTTCATCTTTTGGCCTTTCGATCCTATAAGGACATATTTATGCACCCTTTCGCTCTTAATTTCATGCATTATACTTTCAAATTCCCCTTTAAGGACATTGTGTTTATCCATACATCGTTCAGGATAGTCCTTAAAGCATTCAAATATCATGCAGTGGGAGCGAAAACCCGAAAGCGCGTGCCACTTGCTGAGTGACCATTGACAAATAAAACTATAGCTTATCAGATTACAGGGGTTAACATAGGACATTTGGACCAACATGATCGCGATAGAGTGTGGCGCAGGTTGCATGCGGATTGGTGCATGTCACGTCGTGCTCGACACTCGTACTCAGGCACGATTGGCTACATTGAAGCTCCACGCGTTGTAGGGAGCATACCCGTAAAACTCTCATGGCATCACCTGCGCTTAGCGATCACGCGTGATCATGGTGGTTGGTAGTTGATGCTGTGGCACGTAACTTTGCAGGCATTTGCATTTCTACTTGAAATGTGACTGCGCGTTGTGTCCGCGCACGTCATCGCTGAGCTGTCCGTATACTGCTAGGCACCCACATGACTGAGTCCGAATGACTTGGCCGTTTGGAATAATGACATAGGTGTTGCTCACACATACCATTTTCTAGGGTCGGCTGGCATGGAATTTAGGCTGGTGGTGCAAGAGAGTTGGTATGATAGTTCGTAACGCGATTCGTCTCGTGGTGACGCGAGCGTACTGAGCGCGATGTTGAAAGGTCTGCGCTTGACAGATGTGGTGATTCGAATCAGTTTGAGTGCGCCTCTGCTGCACATTGGCATCATCAACGCTGTTGGATGACGTGCGTGATAGGGCGGCTGAAGTTGCACTCGTTTATCGCTTTGTTACGCCGTTGTTCGACTGAGCTTGCTCCTGGGGAATATTTCAGCGCGTTGCCACATGGTTCCCATCACCGTTGCCTGAATTCGTCATGCAAACGTTCGTAAAACCGCTTCATTTCGTTATGAAACAAACGGAATAATGTAGGTTGTTCCAAGGGCGACACACCCAAACAGAAACGATGCTTCCTCAACCCCTGGACGGTTATACTTTTCTGCCAGTTTTAAGGAATGAGCTGTGATCAATCGTAATGCTAACTTGCAGTAGGCAACGACGCATATGATTTTGTTCGCTCAGTACAAAGTAATCATTAGCAGGCAGTCACCGGAACTACAAAGAAGTGAGTCCTTTAGATGTACAGCTGTCGAACGTATTGTGAAACTTCTGGAAAATAAACCTTGTTATAATCAATATACCTTAGCGTATCAGAAATATGAAAACGATTCTCGTAGACGGAGGTAAGTCTCAGATTTTAATTTTAGGTTTTCGTCCCAGTAGCTCACCGGCTACATAGCACAGCCTAATCCGGAAAAGCACCAGAGGCGTTTTGCTCTATTGTAGCTCGCCATTGGTGTACATTTCTTCGGTCTTTCTGGGGATCGAACCCATGCCAGTTAGGGGCAGATGCCAAGTAGCCAGCAGCGTAAACCACTTAATCATGGGGAACTTCTGCTGGGCTACATAATTTCATGCTAACTGGGATCTAGAACGACCTATCTTCCCATGTCACGCAGGTTGCTAGCTTGGCACATGACAGCGGCTATCCTCCGTAGTTCATGGCTTCCACTCACTAGACACTACCTCCACCGTATTTGGAACTAAGAGAGTCTACCTTTCAAATTACTAATGAGTAGAAAGATTTAATTGTAGCTCTAAGGTTTTCGTCTCAGCAGCCCACAAGCTACATAACAAAACCTAGTCCGGACAACAATCAGACTCGTTTCGCCGTTTCGTAAGGCAGGGGAAACTACTGACTGCATGTTAATGGAAACAACAACAAAAGTGGGATTGAAGAGAATTAACAACGGGCGTAATGGAGGAGACGAGACAAGACTCTGAGAGCTTTGCGGATTGAGCCGACACCGGATCACGGGCGGCACCTGGTAACGAGCCTGGAGCCAGGAAAATGGAGGTGGTATTAGTCGTGAACTCAAGGTACCAGACGAATTCGCCGCTGGCGCAGCTCACAAAAGTGAACCCGGGTCGAGTGATGCAGCCACGGAAGAGCAAATCGCGAGCTTTCGAAGGACTTGTGGTCGGCCAAGATTAGCTATAGCAAAGCGGAGATACGGGATGGAAAGTTGGAGTTGTCTCAAAGCCCAACCTAGTAGGCACCTAGATTGGCCCGTCACACAAATCACCGACCGCGTTGCGTCGTGGAAAGGAAACACTGTCCAAAGCTGTACGGGTTTGAGAGTTGTCAGTGGTACGTTCCTGTGGCAACACAAGCATTGCCCACCACACCGCGCCCTTTTCGTCACATTAGGGGGGCTCGTCAGTGGTACGCATTCCCTCGGTCCCAATTAGTGGTCAGAGTTCGGAGCTCTTTATCGGACCCCATACTAGTCGAGTGTGGTGTGCCGCAAGGCTCGGTTCTAGGTCCACGTTTGTTTCTGGTGTTTATTAATGACCTTGCACAGGGAATCGCTTCAAACTTCCTAATGTTTGCCGACGATATCAAGATCTGGAGCAGGATCCAGGCGAACGCCGACCAACATGTGCTCCAAAGTGACTTGGATACAGTGTATCAATGGTCGATCCAAAATTTATTGCATTTCAACGTCAGTAAATGCAAGGTGCTTTCCATCCGACATCAAAGCAGCTACTCATACCGACTCGGAACGGATGTACTGCAACAATCAACTCTCGAACGTGACTTGGATGTCCTGGTTCAAGATGACTTGGGTTGATCCAGGCAATCCGAAAAGGCCTCGAAGACCGGGAACTAACACGTTGGGCTGTTGAGGCGGGCATTTGGACTAATAAACAGCTCCATATTTCGACAAATGCTCAGTGTGTATGTTCGCCCCCATGTCGAATGCACAATTCAAGCCTGGCATCTATGGCTGAAACACGACCTTAATGCACTGGAGCAGCCACAACGTCGGGCATCTAAGAACCTAGTTGGAATGCGCAATCTTTCCTACCAGGAGAGGCTGCGATGACTAGGATTGTTTAGTGGAAACTATCGCAGGCTACGAGGCGACCTGATTAAGACATACTTGATTCTGCGAGACCCACATCATGTGTGCCGCCCTTTACTGCAACTCAGCAGCAATACAAACCTGAGGGGCCACTCATTAAAACTCGCAGAGCAATACAGTCGTCTGGAGTGCCGCAGAAATTTCTTTTCCATTTGTGTCTGTCACCCGTGGAATGCTCTCCCAGAATCGGGCGTCTCTGCACCGACAATAACAGTATTTAAAGGACGGTTGGACGATGCACTCATCCACTTACACTTTGT